TTAAATTTAGATTAAAAAATGTAAACACAAACACAATTTACCATTTACTAAGTTAAACTCTCACAGATATAATTTCCCAGCTAATTCTCTATTAGATCTTTATTCAAAATGTATAGACATGGAAGGAGAATTCACTATATACCAGTGAGGTGGCTGGCTCACAGTAATTTCTTTTTCTGTAAAATATCCCTTTATATAGGGTGGACCACAGCAGCTACATCTCTGCTTTTTCACCCTGCTGTCTCCCCGCTCCCCAGCCTTATCCCTCCTACACAGCTGACTGATACAGAGGCAAACCATATGACCCACAGCTTGCCAAATCAGGGCCTTAAGAGAAATGAAGGGGGCCAGGTGAGGTGGCTCCAGCACTTTGGAAGGACTGCTTGAGACCAGGAGTTTGAGACTAGCCTGAGCAACATAGCAAGACCCTCATCTCTACAAAAAAAAAAAAAAAAACAGAAAAGAAAGAAAAATTAGCTGGGCATGGTGGCGCATGTCTGTAGTCCCATCTACTCTGGAAGGCTGAGGAAAAAGGACCACTTGAGCCCAGGAGTTTGAGGCTGCAGTGAGCTATGATGATGTCACTACACTCTAGCCCCAGGCAACAGAATGAGACCCTGTCTCAAAAAAAAAAGAGAGAAATGAAGGGGTAGGATGGGAGGCTTGGCCAGGATCCCTGCCAGGAAAGGAAGCAGTTTGCAATGGGACAGAACAAAGGTGACTCACTTAGAAACAGAGACAAGATGGAGTCCTTGCAATGTTCCAGTCCTTGGAATCTGCGTTTCCTGTGGCTCAGCTGCACTCTGTCTTTCCAGTGGTTCTGTAAGTAACCCCAGTATCCCTCTGATAAATTCCTCTTTTCTGCCCTAGCTGGTTTGAGCTGGATCTCTGTCACCTGTAGTCAGAAGGCCTGACTACCACAGGAAACGAAGACAGGCATTGGGAGGCAAACTTACCCAGCTTCTCTGTGGCTTCCACACAGACACTAGGATACATGCCCTCAGTGTAAGTTGCCACCAGGAGATACAGATGGGTCTTCACAACAATCACACCAGTGTTTTCCTGGATAAAGAATAAAATAGAATATCCTGCTCTTGGTTCTAATCACAGGACCAGCAGTTATGCTCCAGCTATATTTTTCACCATTTCCTGATTTCCATAAATATATATGTTTTTGAACCGTCCACTCATTTATACTAATTTAGTTGCCTTTCCTCAAAAAGTTTCAGAGTGTTGTAATAACAGCGTATGTATTTTGAAAAGGTTCCCCAGTTGACTATAATACATCCCTATCCCAATGAGAACAGCAGGTAAAATGGAAAGGTAAGACATTTTGGAATTGCACAGCTCTGGGCTTGACTCCCAGCACCTCCATTTTCTGGCACATGTTTATGGAAGAGTTATTTAACCTTGTTAAACCTCAGTTTCCTCATTTGTAAAATGAGGCTATTTAGTTTATAATGTGAGTGAAGTATGCCTAACCCATAATATAGGGCATCCAATGAATGTGAATTTCACCTCCTTCATTCCTAATAATCAACAGAGAGCCAAGAGAGGTTTTAAGCACAGGAGTGGTATCAACTCTTTTTTTTTTCCTTGAAGAGGGTATAGTACGACGGATGGACTATAGTGTACTGCAAAGAGACAGTTCAGGTAAGGTTTAGCTGGTAGATTCTAAGGTGAATGTTTCTCAAAGCCAGGCTCTCTGATAGTGCTTATTTTCACATATGCCTTGCTGGCACCAGACTGCTGTCTCAGTGTCTCAAGACAGTAATGAGTTTCATTTGTTTTATAGAGAAGACCCATGTGTGACAAAGAAAATTGGAGTCAAATTCTTTTATAGTTTCACCTAGCTGTCTTCAAATCTTGAGCACTCACATTCTTAGCATAAAGAGAATATTCATCTGCCCGGACACATTTGTAATCCTTTTCCTTGAAATATAATCCTTCTCTTCGGGCTTGCAAAGGGTTCTTGGCAAATCCATTCATAAGTCTTCGGACATCACTGGGCATTACCTGGAGAGGTTAAATAGTTAGACTAGAAATTGGCAAACAATGGCTGGTGGCCAGCCAGATTTCCTCTGCTGGCTGTTTTTTATAGCCTGCAACCTAAGAATGGTTTTCACATTTTTAAATGGTTGGACAAAAAAAAAAAAAAAAAAGAAATCAAAAGAAGAATAACACTTTGTAATACTTGAAAATTATATGAAATTCACATTTCAGTGTCTACAAATAAAATTTTATTGGAACACAGTACACCCATTCTTTTATTCTTTTGTGTACTGTTTATGACTGGTTTTCCATTACAACTGCAGTTCAGGAGTTGTAACAGAGTATATGGCCCAAAGACCTAAAATATTTACTGTGGTTCTTCATAGAAAAAGTTCATTTAAAAGCCTGATACCCAGGCTGGGTGCAGTGGCTCATGCCTGTAATCCTAATACTCTGGGGGGGCTGAGGCAGGAGGATTGCTTGAGCTCAGGAGTTCAAGACCAGCTTGGGCAAGAGCGAGACCCCATCTCTACTAAAAAAAAAAAAAATTAGCTGTCTCTACTAAAAACGGAAAAAATTAGCCGGGGCTGGGCGCAGTGGCTCACGTCTGTAATCCTAGCACTCTGGGAGGCTGAGGCGGGTGGAT